AACTCTATAACTAGGTATACTTGTAAAATATATTTAAATATCTGAATTTTTTAAAAGAATATAGAATATTTCTAACTTTTCTTTTTCTTTCTCTTTAATTAAATTTTAATCCTCATTTCTTGTAAGGAGATGACAATAAATAAAAAAGGATTTAACAATTGTAAAACTCTGTTTTTAGAAATTAAATAAAGAAAGGAAAAGAGAAGATTTATATATTTAAAAATGTAATACATATTCATTTATTCTTATTTTTTATAATATAATTATCAATTAAGTATCTTTGTTTTTATCAATATATTTTACCAAATCATCAGCCATCAAGACGATTATATTCGGTGCTGCGTAACCAAATGCAGTTCCAAATAATAGAAAAAGACAAAAAACTTGATAAATATCAATCCGTAACTGTGTTATTAAATGCACCATCTTCACAATGATTTAACTGTTTTTAAATATTCAGGAATTACAAAAAAAGAAGAGAAATAAATTTCACTCTTCGTCCACGAGCGGCTTCTTTTTCGCGCCTCGCGTCACTCGGTAGCAATACTCGCATAAACAAAAGGAGGATATATCATTTACACGACATATATATGCACCAACGAGCTCTTGCAAGATAGGAGCAAGAAGAAGAGACAAACAACGTTTATATATCCCACCCACGAAAGAGCGTCATGAATGGATCAAGGAGAACTGAAATAAGGGAACATGTATATTAATGATCACGACAATGACAAAGATAACGTGTCTTAAACTGGGTTGCTTCTCGTCTTACAACCTATTTTCCCTACTTATCTAATTCCCTTCCGCGACTGATCGCGAATACTTATTCATGTAGAATTAAGCAGATGTAACGTAAGAGAGAAGTATTACAAAGATGCGCAGTAGCCTTTTATTTTTACATCTAAAGTTTCATAGTCATCCTCACGATTAATGATGTCGGATGCTTCTATTCTTATAAATTTAAAATATGTAAGCAAAAAAGTAAAAGAAATTAACAGCATGTTGTCATAAAATGAGTAATACAATCATTAAGGTGGAGATTTACATAGCTGATCTAAAGGTCATAATGATAAGAAATTTTTAAAACATATTAAATAAAATAAAATTTTTATTTTTTAGAACATATTAATTTAATCTTTGAACTCAAATTATAAAACTCAAATTATAAAAACTCATTTATGTTTTTTGTATTATAAGAATATACAGAGTGTTGTGGAAATAATGTTTATCTAAAAAATTATAAGAAAATATATTGCAAATATATTTCTAAACTTTTCTAAATTTCCTTTTATCGTATCCTAACTAATGTCGAATTAATTGTTATAAATACTTGAAAAACTACGCACATAAATTATAAGTATAATATCATTTATATATTTGCACAAATTTACATATATCACATAGTTAAAAATAGGAAAGGTTACATTTTATATTCAGTATCTTTTCTTGAAAGGCCATCGATTGAGAAAGACTTATTTTACATCTTTTATTTTCTTGTTAAAGAAATCGTTTTTTTATCAACTACATTATTATTCACCAAAAAATTTGAAATACATCATGATAAACATAAGCATGCTTTGTCACTATAATAGATATTCATCGACATTGACACAACGAGTGACGTATTAATTAAGACGTCCAAATAATTGGGAACGCTTTGAACGAGCAACCAGTTAAATGAGTACATATCTACATCTCCGCAGCCTTTAGAGTTGACAAAATGAAATAGTGGAGTGTGTATGTCACTCATTAAGAGCTGTAAATGTAGTTCATGGTCTAGAAACAATGTGGCGGTTTAAGAGTATTAAAAAATACGGAAATAAATTAATTAGGAACATGCAAAAGTAGAAACAAAAAAATGTTGAAGAGATAAAAGCGAATTTCAGTAACAACTTTATTTACTTATATTCAAATATAATATTTAATAAAATATATGTACATATTTAATAAAATATATGTACATATTTAATAAAATATATACATTTTGCAACAGGAAATGCTCAAGTATAACATTCACAAGTACAAGTCCATTCTTTTATAAAAATTTAAAAACGACTAGTCAAAATCCTGATTATATTTAGAAAATATTTCTACAAATACATAAATTGCACAATTTATACAGAAAATATTTAAATTAAGAAAACACAGGTACATATTTCATAAACTTAAATCCCATAAATCCATTAAATATATTCTCAGTAATACAAGAATTGTTATTCCAGCGACCTATGTAATATGTACTAGATGAGTTGTTTTATACTTTGGTGATAAGAAGCCTATTCATTTCAGCTAAACTTGCATGCAACTTTTCTCTTTTTCTCTTTATAAAAAAAAAATAAATGGTACACAAAAAGTTCAGCTAAAAAAAGAACAGACATAAGATCTATGCATGTGAATAAATTAATCCATTTCACAATCCAACAAAATTATATTTTGATGATCTTGCATTTCAGCTAAGGCATGTAGATTATCCCACCATTGCAGCAGTTTAAAATTGTAAATCATACGGAACCACGGTGTCATCAATGGTATAGTTTTCATAAAATTTTCGATCTCCGATCGCGACACCCATTGAATTTCGCTCACTTCATCGGGATTGGGATTTATGGTGAGATCATCCCGTTGCAGAAACAATATGTAATCGATCTCATGTTCACCCCAGCGATTGTTACTAGGTGCTTGATAACGAATTCTTGTCAAGTAAAATAAATCAGAAGGTTTGATCTCATCGCTAGATATACCCAGCTCATAACCGAGTCTTCTTATCGCAGCTCGGCGTACACCTATAGCATCTTCTTCTTCTATTTCATTAGGAATCTCCGCTAAGGGATGACTGCAGCACGTATTCGTATAACAATTTGGAAATGTTATCTATAATATAAATTATATAAATTAGAGATGAAAAATATTTGTAGAAAAATGAACATAATTATTTCACACGAAAAATTTAGTTTGTTACAAATTTAGTTTGTTAACAATTAAGATTATCACAATTAAGACTTTTACTATGGATTTCTTAAGATTTTTATTTTTAATTTTAGTCAAAGTATTTAATCTTATTATTAAGCCATACTATATATTAGAATTGAAATTAGATTAAAATTTGATAAAAAAACAAAGTCTAAACTTGATATTGATTTTCTTTCTTCTAATTGGTTAAATTTCAATTTAATCTCAATTTTAATCTATTTAGAAAATTATGATAAATAAAATTGAATGTGATTTCTGAAGAATATCAGTTTCCAAATTCATATATCCTTCTTTTACTTTAAAACTGATATGAATCAAAAAATTAAATTTTTCAGAAAAAGGAAAAACCATTTTTTAGTTGTGATTTCAATCCTACAAAATTATAATGTAAATCAGGAATAATTCTCAAAAGTGACTCAAAATACCAATACATATTTTACCAGAGTCTGATTATTCAATTTTTACTTACATGGTTAAATTCAAGATATTCAAGATATTCATCATATTTTAAAATATTAAAGGAGATTCTTACCTTGGAGCTCGATCGCTTCTGGAGTAACAATTCCTTTTTACTATTAAACAAAAAGACACTGAATGCCCTATGTAGCGGTACACATCCCTCCATATTAATCTCATGACAGGCTTGCTTGGTAGCTTCACCAACAGGCTTATCCAGTTTATCAACGAGTATGCAACGTTCCTGTAAAGCAGCTTTCTGCAACTGTGTTACTTGCACTATTCCATAATCTTTCTCCATAGATGTCATCATTTTGTGCATAATATTGCTGAGATTCCTGTATACTCCTCTGATCATCATATACTAACCAGTCACTTGCCGAATAATGACTGAAAAGAAATAAATGAGGATGTAAGATATATCTTATCTCATAACAAAAATAGATAAATATTTCATAAGAATATAAAAACAAAATAACAATAAAATGAATTTGAAATGATTAAAAAATGACTTAATGATCATTTTGGAATTATGACATTATTTTGATATTATAATGACTTGTTTTGCTTAGGATATGACTTCGGAACAGAATTTTATCGATTTGTTAATAGACTTTATAATCACTTAGAGAAGAATTAATTAACTCGAAGAGCATACACAAGGACACAAGAGCACATACATACCACGTGGCAAAACACGTCAATAAGACTGGATTACATCAACAAGAAGCCAAGCTGAGCGTTTCCATTCAACTGCGTCACGAGCATCATCCGATGTTTTCTTCCCAAGAAAACATCCAATCGCAAACGAGCCTAGTTGAGCTACATAATATCGAGAATGGTATCTGATGACGAACGGGAATTCTTCGTGATCTGGAATGTAATGTGACTGAAAACTATATTATCTCTCCTTCGCTTTTATGGAAAAGATCCCATTATTCATTATACACTCCTCAATTTATTATTTTCCAATTAAAGTCAAACAATGTACGACTCATTCGTAATAATTGATTTAGGTAAATCACCTAGATTCGCATCTGAAACTACCAATGCCAAATCTGGAGCATTGATCATGTAATTTGGAGCATGATAATTTCTCGCATTTTGCATGAACTTCTTCACAGAATCATTACTTGCTAGCGAAAAGTAAAAGTACTTAAACAAGAGAATAGAGGTTAAATAAATTCGCAAATACTTGTAAATATTTAATTGATAAATATATTATAATGCTAAATGGAGCACAGCCAAACACAACTGATTGCTGACTATTTGAGCACACTAGCGTTTATCTTTTTCATTTAAATTTAGTACAATTATCTAGTACAAGAATGCTAAAGACTTAAACACAATAGGCACAGGCAATAGGCACAGGCAATAGGCACTGGGAATAACAAGCTGTCCAATCAGAGCTCTGGGTATATATTATAATATCGAACACACCAGAGCTTTGATTGGACGGCTCGTTATTCACCATTACCTGTACGTGTTGTGTTTAAGCCTTAACATGTTTTCGCAAGTTGCACTAATTCCCGCGAGGAGGCGATAATCTTCAAACATTTTATTCATCAAGTGATTCGAGTCAGATGATAAGCAGGTTATGAATATATTGAAATGATACACGTTTGAAACAAACTTATATCTGCAGTAATTTAAAAATAAATGTATGTACATGTTTCTTAAAAAATCTGATTATATAATGATTGAATAATAATTAACAATCGATTCTTGTCAATGATGAAATAATTCTTATTTAACTATTCAAACTAATGATCTGTTTTATTGACAATTAGGCATTTATTAAGGAGAGCTTTCTGAGAGAACGGAGTGAGGATAAATGATAAATATGCTCAAATTTCCGAGATTATTAGTAAATCATGTGAAAGCGTTGGCGACACCCACGTCGTCTAGTAATGCGGATTATTTGTCACAACAAACACGAGTAATTGCTTTTATTATTATATTAAGTATAGTAAAAAGAAATCCATTATTTTTCCATTCAATTTCATGCAAAAATAATGGATTTCTTACTACACCTAATATATAGCCATTAACATGTTCTTTCCAGCAAAAAACATAATGCAATCTTTTCATTTTTGTTTAATATTTGCAAACATAATAATTTACTGTGTTGCACTGTCATCTGTTGATGCTTTTCATTTGTTGATGACACAAATTGACACAAATATCGATTTATTTTTGTTACTGAATGTTTAGAATAGAAAGATAAAATAACGTTTGTGTCGATTATGTCAATAAATGGAAAACTTTGTGTTTTTTGTTGAAAAGCCTATTTCTTATTTTAAAGTGCTTTTTATTTTCTGTTTCTTGCTTTTTATTATTTTTTACATCTTTTTTTCTTGCTTATCCGTTTTATGTCGCCCGAGATAAAAATTACCAAACAAAGAAATAAGAAATATGTAGCAATAAATATAATCTATAAAACAGTTGTAAAAAAGCAAAAGATAAAAAACAAGAAACAAAAAACAAAGAACATATTGTAGAATAGGCTTAAATGGAAAGCATTTTATATTTTTTGTTGAAAAGCCTTATTGAATTTGTACCACTGAATTAATACACAAAAAAGGCTGCTTTATTTATAAAGTATCTAAACGCAGTGGCATAATATAATTAACTTTGACAATGAAATAATACATATATATTAGTTGATTTATTCATATAGTGATCTTGTTCTAATTAATTTCATATATTTTATTAAATAATGTCACATATCATTATCAATTAGTGTATTTTTTTTATCTCAATCAGTATATTTTTTGATAATAAATTAAATTAAAGTTAAATTATTGAGTATTTATTTTTATAAATATTTATATGCTTTTTATATTTTACTTTGGTAATTTCATGTACAGCAGTTTTGAATATGCATAAATCTAATATATTACAAGTGACCAAATTTTCTAATTGGGTATTTTGTAATTCTTGAGATAGCTTGAGATAACTTAAATTTCTACATATATAGATTATTGTTCTCATACTTATTCTTTCTAATTTTTTGCAGAACACTTTTATTCTCAAAAGAAGGAATCCAGTACCTCTTCATAAAAAGAATGCCAAGCCCCATCATCTGAGAACAAGGCATTTTATTTACGATCTTGTTGAGGATACTAATGTAAAGAGAAAAAAACCACTCGATTTGATTCTGACACAATACGTGGCAGGACTTGGCAATATGGGCACTCAAGTGTCGTTACACCCAACGATAGCGTACTCAAAGCTTTTACTGCCGAAATTGGCGGACTATGCTACTCCTGAGAACATTGAAAAGTATACGAAATTGGCGGCAGACAAGGAGAATGATAAGTCGTTCAGTTCTTCCTCGGTAGAGAAAACAATGAAGTATCTATCGCGGAAACGGATATCCATAGTGATGTCAAAGGACATGCCATGGACATTGGAGAAGTGGCATATCAAAGCAAATTTCCGCAAGGCTGGTATTTATCTACCTGAGGACACTATAACGATGCCTGAGAAACCAATATCTGGACCGAATCTGGATTTACAGGGAAAGGAATTTTACGTGACTATCACGATTAATAATCGCGAACAAGTGAAGGTGAGATGTTGTCTGCATCATTGGACGCCGGAAAATTCTTCGCAACTTTACGTCAATGAATTTTGGAAGCTGCCAACCGATCCAATATTTCCCGAAGACAAGCCGATTTTAGATTCTCTTCCTCCTTTCTGGATGGAAAGGAAGAAAACCACATGTTTCTAATATCTTATATTATAATATAAATAAATAATTCTTAATAAGAGTGAATAAGTTTTCCTAGAAACTCTTAACTTGGATATATATATATATATTTTAAACCTTTCTTTTTAGCTGTACCTGGTTTGTCTCTTTTTTTTTACATTGGAAAAAAGAAAAGATGAAAAGTTCAGTTAAAAAGAATAGACCTCTAGAATTCTTTGCATAACTATGATATTATTATATTGTTTCAACGTGATAATTGTATACAATTTTCATACAATTTAATCAGATCTCCAATAAAATCTCCAACTACTATATTCTAAAGAGATTTGGGAGTCTAGTAAGCACTTCAAGTATATACTTGCATGAGGAACTATATTTTCCTAGATCAATAATTTGACTCTGTTATACCTTCATTGTGATTAGGAGAATATGTCTATTTCTAGAAACTGTGATAACCTGAAAATTGGTATGAATAAAATCGTGAAAATTATATGATATAAAAAATAACTCAATATGGGTGAAAGATTTGCATGGGATGAAATTTTGGAAGAATTAATTCTATTTAGGTAATTTTAGTAATTTCAAATTTTTCGTTTTCCCATATTTATAATACAGTTTGACTTATAATACTACTTATAATACTATTTTCTATAGTTTTTTTGCTTGTTTTTTAATCTACAAACTTCATTTAAAATGAGTGTATGATATAATTTAATGTTCTATGATGAAACTTTTAGATAAAGATCGACATAAATTATTTTTATCTGCAAATAATTATTCTAAATGTTAATGCATTTTTTTTTATACCATCTTAAAGATTTTCTAAGATTTTTCATTTTATAATTCCTGAGAAAGAAATAAAGGCATTTTATAAAATCTTTCAAATCTTATATTTCATTAGAATTATTACAGAATGAGAAATTAAAAAATCTTAGAATGTTCAGAATTCATATATATGAAAATTTTAGTAAAGATATAGATTGTCTCAGCATTTCTGAAGAATATATAATTTGTATAAAAAATGCAATTGTTCCAATTTGTATGAAAAATAAGAAATTTTCTAAAAAGTTAAAAATTATTCAAAAATTTTAAAATTTATATAAATAATTCTAAAAAAAAAAAAAATTTCTCTCTAAGAAAAATTTTCACTATGGGAAAGAATGATTTTGTGAAACCTTTTATCTGCGTAAATCTCTATTTCATTAATTAGTGTGACAAAGAAGAAGACAGAAGAAGAACAAGCTAAGCGACGAAGAAAGCAAATTATTGCTGTCCCTCCATCGGAAATTTATGCTCCACACGCGTATTTGATTTTGTGCTACCGGGAAATATTGAATGATAGCGAAAAGGTGAAGATCGGACTACAATATATATTATATAAATATTATATAAATTCTTTGACAACTCGATATCAAGTGTCTCACATTTGTTCTAATTGTAGATCAGATTTCGGAAGAATTATCTAAGAAAAGTCACACCGGATGAGCCAGACATCATTATCCTGCAAGACATCAAGGACCTCGTGCTCTTCCTCCTCGTGACGTCCGTCAGCCCCCAGTTCATAAATTTCTTTCACTTGCCGATCGCAGACCGATTTTTGAGAGCACTTATCATCTATTTCCAACGCTTCGTGCAGATATGGGAGGACTTGGTAAATGAACGAGCGGCCACCATGAAGAAGGCGCCTAATCCACTGGCGCGTGGACATAGATCTCGATATGCCGATGAATTGCATACTCTACGTTGTGTTCTGGGCAGGGAGTATGCGGACTTGCTGATGGGCTGCCGGGATGGGCCTCGCTATCACCATATGATAACCAATTCGAAACGCACGGCTACGCAATCTCAGGGCGAGAAAGATCTGCGAATCTACGAGGCATTGATAAGTGTGGCTCATAGAGTCGTATGGATAGCATTACAACGGAAACATTTCACTCTGATCGGTACGACAAAGAGCATATAATGTTCTAAATAAATATTGTATATCATTTTACAATGATATACAAAGAGAATACCATATACATCGTATATCACTGTATAATGATGAAGATTTTGCTATAAATATTGTATATCACATGTAAAAATAATACATGTAAAATAATATTTATAAGATTCAGAATGTTATACGCTGAATGTATATTATATATGTATTTACGATATTATTCCTATTTGATATTTGAGAACTGATTATTGAATCACTGAGCATCGTCTCGCAGAGTTAGAACTGCACAGGCTGCTCCGGACCGAGGCGTACAATACCGCGCAAAGACAAAGCGGCAGCCAACTTATTCAAGATATGCTGGAGGATGATATTCGTGTACTACATGGTCCCAAGACAACAGTGAAAACTCGAAAATTGCTCAGAAATTCTCCCTTACCTCACGAGCTGATATATGCAGATTGCGATTATCGTCTTCTATCGTTAGGTGATATATTTTTTATGAAAATAGTATATTTATATTCAGAATAATTTATAGAAATAGTATATCTAAGGATATTTAAGATCTATATGTAGAAATAATATATTTATACGCATGAATTGTGACTCCGACCAAATTCCGATTAACTAATTCAACTAGCACAGTTACAAAATTAAAATTACGACATGGCGAGAATTTTTTCACAAGAAATTAAAAATATATTAAAAAATATATATTATATGTAAATATTTACATATATTAATATTAATATATGTAATAGATAATTCTTATTCAATGTAATAGATAATTCTTATTCAATAAATATAATTCTAATTCAAGAAAAACTAAAACAATATATATTAATATAGATAAATTCTAGAAATACGATTATTGACGAATATAATATTCTTAGTTTTTTTAATATAATTCATTATTTCTAATTTAATTTTTTTATGTAAATAACAGAATATTAATAATTCTATTCACATTAACAAGATAGTATAAATGATAAATTAGTCATCGATCAAGTTAATCAAAGTTTAGTCGTAGTCCTTAATCTATTTCTAAACTACGATATTTGCGCAAAGGATAGCTGTGCATTATGTTATTCGTACTTCCATTTAAAGGCATAGTAGATATCGACATACACCATCCAAAAATTGCTTATCTAAGAAATGCTCTTCTCGTCGACGAGGAAAAGCTATCTCAATTAGAGATCAAAGTGGGCATATTAGGTCACAATCGTTCGGATTATGATATAATGTTAATGCCGCACAAACCAGAGGAACCGATAGAGCCAACAGAAATTGATTTGCTCAAAAAAAAATCGTTGGAGACGCGAAGAAGTATCTTTGCAACTAAAATCACTCTTGTAAGTGTCCGGTCGCTTTTTTTTTTTTTTTTTATAGAAATATAAATCTTAACTGGATACACGAAAAAATCGAATCTCTGAAATATTTCTATTTCATGGTACAAAGGAACAAGAGGAGGTCGAAATTCTGCCCGAGATTGAAATACTGGAAGAGTTCCCAGTGAAAGAAATTCAAGAAGTAAACGAAAAATATGATAAGATTCGCGAAAAAGCCCGGATAAAATGGATCCTTCGAGAAATAAGACGACGTGAACGCAAAGCAACTGACTCTATCTATGTGTCAACGACAACTTTAGACTGAATGTTCAGAATAGAATAAAATTCTTACATCTATATGACGAGAATTTCACAAGAAATTAAACTAGTATTTATATATATTATACGGATATAAATTCTAGAACATCGACAATTTAAGAATATAATTTTCTTGAGTCTTATTTATCAATATAAAAATAAAATACACAAGTCCAGTTGTTTTATCAAGCCGATATTATCATTAGGATATGAATGACAAGGATGGATATAAACTGAACGCTATAACGCAATGTAAAAAATATGCTTATTATAATTGGTGATGCCTAATCAAGAGTAATAATGCTGATATTTTACAAGAAGATACACATATAGATACATTTTCAAGCAATGCGTTATGATTAAATTCGGCATTGTCCTGTCCATAAATAATTATTGTATACCTAATCGCTAGCACTATATACGTAATAACAATACATACGACGTTAATTTAATCCCCAATGTGGGTCGATTTGCAAATTATTCCGTTTCCGTTTGCATCTATTTACGATCAACTCGCTATTTGCGTTTTTTGTAATCATTCACATTCAGCTAAACGTTCATCACTTAGTAGTGCGCTTTGCACCATTGCGACCCGTTTTTCTTGAACAAATGACACGCATTATGTAGCAACATAAAAAAAAGAAAAAAAAATTTCTCAATATTTGGCACAGCGATTTTGATAATAAAAACCAGATTATATTTTATATCTGCCCGTCTTGCGCACAGACCTATAATGAATAACATTTTTAATGTTTTCTTTATCGATAATTAATTACGTAATGTGTTACATTTTCCCGTTTCATCAAGTTATTACGATATGTATCGAGATTACGATAATCCACAGTATATCTGCGTATCGCGTTTTATACAACTATTATTACAATGGAATTGTAACAATGTTTTGTCGTGCACGTACTTTAGGAATTAAATGGCAGTAAGCAACTCAACCATTCACGCACTGTTACACCACGATCTAGTTTTACTTTCAGAATCCGTGCCTTTATATTTTTCAAAAAAAAAAAAAAGAAAAAATTCTCTTCTCAAATGAACATTGAAATATTCCCTTGAAAAAATATACGTGATAATAAAAAGTGTCCTTTACTTAGTTGATACACAGCGTGTCATCTTCTCATTTGTAAGGCTACAAAGCGTGTTGCACATTCGGTAACAATATTAAAAAAATGAAAATTTTCGGCACTTTTCACTAATGTTTACTTCACTTAGATATTACAGCTACTCTATCGCTGAACATTTGTCTACATGAATATAATACAGAATGGACAAAGTGACAATATTGATTATCCACATATATTAATAATATAACGATAATAAATGTGATTATTTAATTGTGTTATTGCAGTAATCAGATTATTGAAAAAAACGTGATTATATACACTACGTATTACATATTTATGTAGACATATGTATATACTTCT